TAGTAAGAATATTTATGCAACATTTTTAACATATTTTAACATCTTTTTAACATCTTTTAAATATACATATATTTATTTTATTTTATTTTATTTTTAATTTTATTTTTTGCAGCAATAGAAAGCACATCCTCTCTTTTTTATCTAAATTTTCTAAATCTTTTATAACATTATTTGCAAAAAAATGCAATCAAAGCTATGTATTGCTTCAACAATCTCTTTATTTATACTATACTTAAAATTAACGGTGAATTTATTAACTTAATAATATCAACTTCAATTGTCATTTGAGATTGAGCTTATTATTATATGCTACTTACCAACATGTGTAATCATTTAATTCATTTGTATCTCTATGATGAAGTATATTAGTACCAAATTCCTTCCAATTAGGGAATATCACAAAAATAGATCTAATTAGTCCAAATAGTCCTTTCAAAATCAATCTATTTTTTGCTTCACTTTTAAAAAAATTTAAGATAAAGAAATTCAATAATTTAATAAAAATAAGATATGATATAAAGTAATGAAGAAATATGTATATTTAAGAAGAAACTATAATGGCTATTGTCAAAGATAAAAAGTTGCAAATTCTTGAAACTTGATGAGAAACAAGAAAAGAATTGACAACTTATTTAACTTGTAAGGCAAGTTTTCATTATATGAGCCACATGGCCAATTTCTATCACAAGTGATTAACATGTGGCCAACTAATAAATTAGTGGTCAACATGCATCAAGGATATGAATCATAATCAAATTTTAAATAAGCAATATACTATTATGATATTTAAAGAGAGAAAGTATATAAATATAAATAGATATAAGTTACATAAATAAAAATAATTTTTGTCAAATACAAAGAGATCAAAGATTCTTGAAATAAGACAAGAATATAAAAACAATATTGTTAAGAATGAAAAAGAATTTATTCTTATCTCATTATATAAAATCTAATTAAAAAACTACATAGCAACATTCTAAAGGTCATCCAATACTTGTCAAATTTATTGAACATGTATCTAACTTGCAAAATAAGTTTCTAATAAGAGAGCCATATGACCAATTTGTACCATAAGTGGCCAAGTTGTAAAACAAGTAGTCAATATGAGCAACACATGGTCAACTTATTGGCTAAAATTTTAACCTATTAATCACCTAAAAATACTTAGAAAGTCAAATCAACATCTACAAAATATTTAAGAAGTTTTTTTACAAGATGTTATCAAAATTATCTACTTCTACTTATTTCTACCTAATTAATCATATCTCCAACTTTGTAATTTAAAGCTTCTAATTATTTATTAAATTTATCAAAAATTGATCTACTTTCATTAAAGTGTATTATATAGATATGATTATTTAGGTATTTTATTTTGGCTTTAATGATATCTACATCTATAGTAAAAATTTTATCAATTTTTTCAATTAAAAATCCAACGTGCCTTCTTATAAAGCCTTAATGTAGAAATTCACTTGAAATTACTTAATTTAGGTTAAATCTATCTTTAATGATACTAACTTCTTATACACCAAGAATCTTTCAAATGTCTATATCCTCAATAGTTCTTATATAAGTATGGCAAAATAATTGATTTTGCAAAATAGAAAATGTATTGTATGTAAAATACTTCTTTTATATTGAAGCTTTGATATTGTTTATATAAAAATTCATATTAATATAATTGGACCAATTGGTTATAAAATCCTAATTACTCTAATTTAGTTATTAAATTTCTAAAATTAATTATATAATTAAATAAGATTAATAAAGACTAAGTATTAAAAAAATACTTAAACAAAGACAATAATGTGTATATGTAATTATTATGCAAGGAGGATAGTAATCCAAAAAAAACTAATACAATCTAAATCTTAATAATAATAATAAGTTTTGAATATTGATCTTTTTTTTTTGCAATATTAAAGTTGTTGCATGTATTGATTATATGTTTACTACATACTATTTATCATGCATTTAATATGTTTAATACATTCTACAATTAATAACATAGAAAAGATATTAATTAATATAATAATATAATATTTGGATAACTATATGCATTTAATAATAACATATTTGTACCAATATAGAAGATTGTAATTTATTTCAACATTACTTTAAATTCAAGACTTTTTCCACTTCAAATTATTTAATTTTTATATATTTCAATTATAAGCGATGATAAGTGTTTTTTTCTAGATATGTTGATTGTAATATAAGATTCAATAAAAAATACATAGAATACGTGATAAATCTTTATTGGCTACAAGAATTATAATTGATATGAAATTAGATTAATTGATTGATTTATTTATTTTATAATAAATTGGCCAAGCTTACAAAAATTTAATTTGATATAATGTCAATTAATCTTAAAATTTTAATAAAGTAATCATATCTTATCATCCACTTTAAATGTAAGTTTTTCTTTTACAAAAACATTTGTATTGATTTTTTGCAACTTCTAAGTTTTTTTTAGTAGTATTTTTATTATTGCATAAAGCAGTGCTATATTTTATTTCAACTCTAATTCATAGCTTATTAACTTTCAAAAAGTCAAGTATTAAATTTTAAATAATAAATATGTTTTAAAGAAATAAAAATAGAATAAATAAATAAATTATATATATATATATATATATTGATTTCAAATGGTAAAAGAATTGTTCAATTGTCTTGGTGATAGTTGATGATGTATTGCAAATATTGATCTAAAAATTGATTCATATGTTTTTCTTTTGTCTATTAATTTGAGGATAAAAAATTAAAGATAACTTGATATTAACATTTAATATATTAGAGATTGTCTTCTAAAGCCTTGATATAAATTAAAGTCTTGATTAGATATAGTATCACTTGGAAGTTAATGATATTAATAATATTATAAATTATAAATTAGTGGTTTCTTAACTTCTAATATTTTTCATATAAGGTAAAAAAAAATTTACTTTAGACATAAGAATTGTAGATTAAGAGATTTTTAATAAAGTTTTTTGAAACAAATGATCAAAGTTGTATTAAAATAGGTAGAGATTAAAAAAGCTTATACAACCAATCATAGAATATTTTTGCTTAAGAATAAGTGTCTTAAGATTGAAAAAATATTTTGATATCTTTTTACATTTGAAACCACTAAAATTCTTTGGAAATAATCTCCAAAGTTTTATTATATCCTAAAAATATTATGCTCCTTAAAAATTATGTCATACTTGAAGTACATGTAATTATGCTTGATCATATAGAATATATAAATGTCTTTTATTGTATAGAATTATGTCTTAAAAATCAAATTTGCTACAATCATTATGAGGGTTATTTTTAACATCATAAATAAGAGAGTTTCTTAACTTAATTATTTAAATTTTATCAAAAAAAATAGTATCAATTAAAATTATTGATTCAATAGTTTAAGGATGAAATTGCTTTAATTTCAAAGAGACAATACATCATTTACCATACGTGACATTTCTTTCTTTTGATGCAAAATAAAAATGTCCATAGAAAGCATTTAATAAGCATTGTTATTTTTTTAAACAATATATAATTCTAAACATAAATTACAACAAAGACATGCTCCAATATACTTGGTAGCAATTTAAGACATGTATTGACATAAAGTACTTAGATTCTTGTAATTGTTATAAATCTAAATTAGATGAAAAGTGCTTTTAAGCTAATAATGCCATTATTAGAATAAATCTAAAATAAAATATTCTTTTTTATAAATGATTTGTGACTATTTAGGTTTTTTTTTTAATGAAAAGAAATAAAATGAAGCTTATTATTTTCATCTATTTATGATAGAATTATACCTAATACAAAGTTTGATACATCTATTTTTGTAAAATCAAGTTTTAAAAAATTAGATGGTTTAAAATAAGAGTTGATATCAAAGTTATTTTCAAACCTTGAAATTTTGCTTTTGCATCTTTATTGTATTCTAATTTGTCTTTAAAAGCTAAGAATATAAGCTAAGCAAGTAGAGAGAATTTCTTGATAAATATTCTATAATAATTTCTAAATTTAAAAAAATATTAGACATTACATACAAGTCTTGAGATTGTTTAATTTATAATAATTTGTATCTTTTTAGAATCTATTTGCAAAATTTTATTTAAAATAATATATTCCAAAACTTCTAAAATAAAACTTCTACTTGAGTAAAACATATTTTTATGCATTCTTATGTTTTTATAGTACAAAGAAAGCATGTTTATATTCCTCTATGTTCTTAATATAAATAAGAATATTTTCTTAATAATATTTCTTAGAAATTCATGTAATAAATCATTGATTAAATATTGGATAGCAATTTGGAATATTTGTAGGTCCAAAAAGCATGGTATTATATTTTAAAATAGTCATATGTAATTTAGAATATTAACTTCTATTCATATCTTTTTTTATTACATACCAAATTGTAGTCTATTTGTAGATCTATCTTAATGTAGTTTATAGTTCTATTTTGTTGATCAAAGAGATAGAATATATAAAAATAAAAAATAAAAAATACTAATTTATATTTTTTATTTGTAGAATCTATAATAGTTTATAGATATTTGTAAAGAACTTTTTATTTTATTTTCTTTTCTTTACAAAAAAGATTGGTGTATTTAAAAGAGATTTTGAATGTCAAATAGATTTCTTTATAAGATTGTTTTAAATATAATTCTTAAAATGAGTAAGTTCACACTACAACAAGTTGTAAATTGGTCTAAATAGTTGTTGTGCTCTTTCCTAAAGATTAATTGCACAAATATCAAATAAGCATTTTAACAACATATTAATATTTTTTTCTCAAATACACATTGACATTTCTCATATTGCATTGAAATTCTAATGCAACATTTACATAAATGAGGACTTCATGTTTTATGAATAACAAAAGATTTTTTAATTTTTACAACTTGCATAAAATAGGAATCAAGATGGTTTGTTGATATTTGGACTAAATCTTAAAATGACCTTTAGTAATTTCCAAATGATATAAGTTTGTGTAATTCAAACTAAGAAAGGCCAAGTGCATTTGAAAAAATATATATTGCATGTTAAAGACAATGTTAGATACTGAATTTAACTATTTCTTTCTATACATATTAATATCTATACGACAAATTACAGTGTTAGCGTTTCAAAACCAAACGAAACTATAGTTCTCTTACAGATTTCCAAGTTCCAAAACATCATGATGACATCTAGAGGGAGTGTTTTTAGTTGGGATCAATGAATCGAAAAACGATCATGCAAAAAAGATGCTTCGAGAACCATGTGAACCTGATCGTAAGCGTTCCAACTGCCCTACATGTGAGTGATCCACATACAAGTTAACCTGCGAGGTGTCACAAGATCAAATATTAGTATTTGCAATGTCTGTCTGCTGTTCGTAATACACCCAAATGAAGTCTCCGTGGTTCCTGACAATTATACTCGTAATTTTATAATGTGAATAATCTTAACAAGAAAGAAAAGCTTGGAAATCCATCTGGAGTTAATAATTATAACTCCAGGTGAAGTAATTTGCAGAGATTTTAATAGTAGTATCAGGACGGGATCAGGAGACTTTCCGAATTTACAAGCATTCATTTACAAAGGTAATCAATGAGCAACGCACTTTGGAACCGTATTTCTCGATTAGCCATTCAGAAACCTTTGGGTCACTGGCTTCGAACATTATTCTTTCCAACCCCAACTGTTCGATGATCTTAGACACCAAGTCAGAGCGCCAGTTGCTAATATTGTTGGTAAGACCATCTGAAGCAATCATAATCATATCTGCTCCCGCCTGTAAGTAACGTTCTGCCCGCTTTATTACCCAGTTAGGGTTCTCTACACCTGCATGGATCCGAACGTTTTAATGTTATTATCCTTCAGTTAATATGCTCTCCGCTTTGCCATACCTCAGTGTAGAACCATGACCGATGGAAGTGGAAGCAGACGTTAATAATTGCAAATTGCCGGTGGAAAGGTCAGCCTTAAAACCTACAGAAATTTTATCACGAAAAATACAATACCACTGTATTTCTTAGCGATTTAAATTCATATACGCATTCATATGACCATGAAATGATTAAAGAGAAGACTAGCCTTGAGAAATTGTTCATACAAGCAGAGTTATATTGATACACAATCTAATTGTGCTGACGAAGTCATCAATCTAGACAGCAAACACCAACTCGCAAAGAATCTGAAAAGCAATTGCAACGAGGAATTAACAACAATGGTACAGTCCACAGTGAAAGAGTATATATACCCATGAAACCAAGTTCTGCGTTTTCGCCTCCGTGAAAATGAAGCCCAAGTTCAGGTTTGGCTCTCATTCCTGATTTCTTCACCATGCGTATTAAACGAAGCAGATTATCCTCATTGAGCCCAATGAAGTCGGCATTTATCTCAACCGTATCAAATCCAAGATCCTTGCAGTCCTGTTCTTGCGAACATGAATCTTAAGCATCTCATGTAAGCGCATGGTTGATTAAATACACGTATCATGGACAGCAAAACCACGAATGTAACAATTTGCAAGATTCTTCTAATTTTGAATGTTTACAATTTCAAAAAGGAAAAAGGGTAATGCATGAGGACATAACGTTTCCAATAAAATTAAAAAAATAAAAAAAATGCAGTACAACCAGTTAAGAGCGTACTTTCACATACTGTTTGAAACTTCCCGGCCCGGTGCGAAGGACGTGCTCTGCCCAATCACCAGTGCTCACATACACATCATGATGATGTGCTTGTCTAATCCACTGCTGGACGATGTCTCTGGACATCAAACTATGACATCCTCCGGAGAACTTGAGACCGTCTATATATTCTCCCATGCTTTCGAACAAATTCTAGACCGCAGAAATACAACATAAGTAATACAACCGCAAAAATGACTCAACAAATTCAATATAACTGCATGCTAGAGACAGAAAGATAAATACGTTTCACAGTTAAATGTACTCTAATGGAGACAAGAAAGGGCAATCCTTAGATGCTACCTATAAATTCATCCCCTAAACACTGCGGATTACCAATGTAATGTGCATGAAAGTAGTGAAATAATTAATAGCTGATTATGCCAGAAACAAGAAGTTAAGCAACAGAGGGAATCTCAAAACATTACAAGTTACATTTTACTCGCTACTGTACTGCGATCACAATTTTATTTTTTTGCCAATTCAGTATAAACACCCAAACATCACTGATTATATGCACTCCGCTCGTACCTGCAAAGGTTCGAATCCAGTGGCAGAGTGAAAAGGTCCTCGGACCTCTGTTATTCCGAGCATCCTCGGTTTCGCCGGCCTTCCAATGTTAGCAATGTAGTTATGTTGACTAGCAATTGTCCGCCCTTGCTTCCCCATGCGTCCACTGGGCAGAATGTTACAAAAGAGAGAGCATTATTGACTGACATGATAAGGCCTCTACACAAAAATTTGGAGGACCTCATCAAGGTGCTCTACGTTTTTAATCACAATGAGAGCACCTGCCTGCCATTCACATATATCACTTACCTTAAAAACTCTTCCATCTCGTACAACTTCGGCTACGGCTTTCAGCTACCCTTGTGTCACACCAGTTTGTTATTATACTGCGATCTTCTGCTTGATCCTGATAATGAAAACAGCCAACATCAATTCAAAGGGCTTGCAGGAAAGTTTATAATGGATCCCATGACTTGTAATCATCTGGAGCTCGATCTCAATTCAAATGTCATTATCCTCGCCATCCTCCGTCAGAGCACAATTCCTTACGTCTTCACATTCTAAATACTAATAGATCAGTCAATTCTAATTCTCGAATGATGTCATTCAAGGCATTCATTCAACCTCGGTTCTTAAAGTCAAACTCTCTCTAGATAATAAAATCGCATTCTAAACCTAAGCATGTCGCAGCCACGTGAAAGCATAAACCGTGACTAAAACAAAAGGTACAAAAGACAATATCACTAAGCCCAGTGCCAGATAACAAAACCACAAGTTAGATTGACAACTGGAAGAAGACACCTCACGAAATTGTGATTAACATCTTCACTTACAATCATTGGCAATATTACGGAAACAAGGTCTATTCATGCATTTGCAACTCACATTTAACCAATGCACATAATGGCGAACTGGTGAATCCTTCGTTAAATATAAAATTTTCCTAAACCTGCACAAGTTGATTCCTACGTCACGTGCCCTTGACGCTGGAAATGAAGGGGTCGATATTAACCCGCTAGAACTGTAGAAGGTTGAACCCTAAGCACAGCCTACACGCCTATTAGTCTCTTACCTCCAAACCTCAAAACGAAATTCTCTTTCAAAATTCCTTAACGCAGATAATCAAGAGCACGCTTTCTCAGTAGCACAACGAAAAAAATAATAAGCGATCGAAATTGTGTAAATGCGAGGTTTGGATCGCGACAACGCTTCGACCGTGACGACACTCCAGTCCTTGCTCCGGCTTTGGCTACGTTCACCTGCAACTTACAAGTCTGAAAAATATGCGATCGCCACAGAATCTGCCGTGAAGCAAAAAAAATCTTACCACTCCAAAATAGTAAGAGAAATAGTATTAACATCAACATGCAGCACCGGAAACAAGTCACACAGTACACCAAAACAACAGTTTGGCCAAATTAGACACAAAATCCTCACCTCAGCCTCGAATCTTACAGGGAAGAGTTCTATCTGAAGAGTGAAACGAAGCAAAAGTGTGAAGGGAAAATCGAAGCAGAAACGAACTAAGAATTACAGCACAACAACGAGCCGCGGAGTCCCCAGGATTGAAGAAAGTACTCGAACTTCAAGTGTCATGGCGAAACGGGCAGCAGAAAAATTGCCCCGGAGTGGACACGGGAGCATCCTCATCTTTGAGCTGCCCGAACAGGGAACGCCATGCAGGATTTGCCTGTGCGGACTGCATCATGTTCTCAATCCACAAGGCGACACAGTGTCAGCCTTATTTGCTGACTTGGATGTGTTCCACGTCAGACCAAGAATAACGCTTCGGCATTCGAGAAGAAGGGGTAACCGGGCTACCAGGTTAGCCTTGACAAGTCACTCTTCTTCATTACATACTGGTTGCAGAAATTTTCCCTGTTGAGAATGTTTAGAAAGACACAAGAGTAATAGTAAGTCATACACACACAAGAGTAGTAGTAAGTCATACACATACAAGAGTAGTAGTAAGTCATACACACAAGAGGGTTTCTAAGGAGAGAGAGCTTCACACACATACACATCTATTGATCTGGTTGTGTCTCGTATACAAGAAGAGAGAAGATAAGAGGATGAACAGTACTTCTCCACTAGACTCTAAATACTGTAGCTATGATAATTACTGTAGTCTATAATAAATATTATGGAGATCGTCAGCTACATTTAATGATCTCAACACTCCGCTTCGCTCATCATAATATTTACATAATATAAAATTTATATAGATTTATGATCTATACTTTTCTATGATCTTGCAAGATCAAGAATTGTTGCCTCATTAAAACCTTATCTAGGAAAACCTTATTTTATTTAAGGACAAAACCATAGATGAAGGAAAAAGAATACAACATCATTTTCTTTAATTATTTAAAGAGCTCATTAACTTTCTTATTCAAGAAAAGCAAGTCGCCGCATATCAATGCCATAAGTAAGTTGACGATGATTGCTTAATGGGAGAGCTTTGGTGAAGAGATCAGCAAGGTTATTTGTAGATTCAATTTTCTTAATTATAAGTGCTTGATCAGTAATCAAGTCATGAGTATAACTAAAATACTTTGGATCAATATGCTTTGTCCTGTCGTCTTTAATGAAACCAACTTGCATCTATGCAATACAAGCACTATTATCTTCATGCAAGATAGTTGGAGAATCATCATATGAAAATCCACAGGTTGTTTGAATGAATTTATCAATTGATCACAACCAAATACATTCTCGAGATGCTTCATGTAAGGCAATAATTTCTGCATGGTTGGATGAAGTTGCAGTTATTGTTTGTTTCACTAATTTTCATGATATTGCAGCTCCATGTCTTAAAAATACATATCCTGTTTGAGATTTAGCTATTGCAATATCAGATTTATATCCTGCATCATAATATCCAACCAATTTTGGATTTGCAGATTTTGTATAATATAATTCCAAGTCTTCAGTACCTTTTAAATAACGTAATAAATGTTTGATGCCATTCCAATGTCGTAGTGTTGGACGTGCACTATGTCTTGCAAGAACACTAACTGCAAATGCAATATCTGGTCTTGTAGATGTAGCTAAATACAAAAGTGCTCCAACCGCTGCGAGGTATGGATATTGGTCTCCTAATATTTTCTCCTCCTCCTCGCATGGACGGTATAGATCATGACCATCACGACCACGTCCACCCATTGGTGTTGACAATCGATAAGCATCAATCATATTAAATCTTTGCAAAATTTGTCTAATACTCGTTAGTTGGTAGAGAAAAATGCTACCATCTATAAGATGCATAATATGAAGACCAATGCAGAAAGTTGTTTTTCTTAGCATTTTTATCTCAAATTCACGTATAAATAGGTTTGTAGCTGTAACACATGCAGATGTAGTATCCACTAGGTTAAGATCATCAACATATATAGCGATGATCACAAAACTAGTTTTATCTCGTTTGATAAACAAACAAGAGATTAGTGGATCACTTATAAAATTATTTGTAATTAAATAATCTCGAAGACGTCGATACCACATTCGTCCGGATTGTTTTAAACCATACAAGGCCTTACATAATTTAATACCATGATATTTTCCTGGAGCGGGTTGATTTAGAGTTCCTATTTCTAAGTAAGGTGGAACTTTCAAAGAAATATTTGCATCAAGAGAATCATATAGATATGTAGTAACTACATCCATCAGATGCATCTCAAGGGTGGCATGAATTGTCATTCCAATAATATATCAAAATGTAATTGAATCTATGACTGGAGAATATGTAGATTCATAACCAATGCCAAATCGTTGAATAAATCCTTGATCAACAAGTCAAGCTTTATAGCAGGTTAATTGGCCTTGAGCATCTCCCTTGCATATTAATACCATTTTATATCCCACAAGGCGAGAAGTAAGAGTGTCTACAATTGGACCAAAAACTTTTCTCTTACACAAAGAGGCATACTCTTCCTCAATAGCAGTTTTCCATTTTGACCAATCAGAGTGATGCATCGCCTCTTCGATGGTTTGAGGTTTAGGATTGTCTTCCTCACAAGAAAGGGCTTCTATAATCATATATGCAAATGATTCATCTACCGTAATAGATGGTCTGTCCCAAATATCATCTATAGCACAATACAGAATAGATAATTCTTTACTCAACTTATTCTTATTCCTTCCAATTCCAAGATTATTTTTCATAGGAATTGAAGGTACATTATGCATGGATATATCATCATGAATTAGTAGTCCTGCAAGATGAGTGGCAATTTCTTGAGAAATAATACTAAGATTAGTTTATTTTATAGCTTTCTTCTTATGTGGTTGCTTATCTAGTCCATGAGTTCTTTTAGTTGTTGTTGTTATAACTTGAGGTATTATAGTCAATGGCACTGCAATCTGAGCAGGTGCATTCTAAGCCTCATTAATAGGAATTCTTGTAATTCTAAGTACATCATTGAAGCCATCAAGTGTTTCATCCGCGATCCGTTTTAAATGTAAAATCTTAGCAACTTCAATTTCTGCCAAAGATGTCATAGGATCAGGATTCATTGTAAATGTTTCTGATGCTTCAAATATGAGTACTTTATTTCTTTGTTGATTGGATACTCCTCCTTGAAGAGATGGGAATATAGTTTCTTCAAAATGACAATTTTACAAACGTGCACGTAATAATGTGCCAGTTGATGGATCAACAATACGAATAATGCTTGGTGAATCAAAACCAACATATATGCCTTCTTGTCGATGAGCTCCAATGGTATGCCATTGAGGTTCTGGTACTGGAATCCAAGCACGGCAACCAAATACTCGTAAGTGAAATACATTTGGAACACGACCGGAAATGAGCTCATGTGGTGAAACAATTTCAAGACAAGAAGGATGGAGGCATATTAATGCTGCAGCATATAAAACTGCATGATCCCACATAGATGCAGATAGATTTGCGTGAAGGAGGAGTGGCCGTATAATGAATTGTATACACTTTATAAATGACTCTAGAAATCCATTTTGAGCATGTTCATATAGAACACAATATGTCAACTCGATTCTTGTTGCAGTACAATAGTTTTCAAAAGACTTTGATGCAAATTCTTTTGCATTATCTATACGTAATGTTTTTATAGGATAATTGGGAAAATGTGCCCGAAAGCGAATAAGCATAGATATAAGATTGGCAAACACCATGTTTTGAGTTGATAATAATGAAACATGTGATTGTTTACATGATGCATCAACAAGGACCAAAAAATAACGAAATGGTCCTGATATTGGATTAATAGGACCACAAATATCACCATACAATCTTTCAAGCATTAGTGGTAATTCTTGTGGAAGTTTCCAAATTGAAGGCCGAGTAATCATTTTACCTTGTATGCATGCACAACATAATTCCATAGAGTCTACATCTGCAGGCTTTAAATTGTACCCAGTTAAACATGGAATAATCTTTCTAAATAATGTGGATCCTGGATGTCCCAATCGTCCATGCCAAAGAGAAATACGACTCTCTGAGATAGATGATGCAAAATTAAATATAATGGGAGGCCGAATCACAATTTGGTATAAACCATATTTTTTAGTAAAAGCTTTTTCAACAACTTTATGGTTCTTTGCAAGAACCAAAACTTCTTTTCTATTTAAAGTGGCGATCGAGAGGTGTTAACTATTAATACGCACATCTCGGTAGCTAATCAGACTTCAAGGTGTTGAGGGTGAAAACATCGCATATTTATATTTTATGATGGAATCCACACGTAATTTTACTATTGCTGTGCCTTCTTGGAAACAAAACGCATTTGCTCCAGCCATGGTCATCATATTTTTAGTTTGCCAAGTTGAAGATTTTTCAATAAAAAGTTATCTATCTCGTAAGATAGTATGTGTTGTTGCAGAATCAATGAGCGCATCATTTGATTCATCATTAGAGGTTCTATCATTCATATAAGCCCGTAAGTCATCAACACCAATTGAATCGATGGATGCATCCATGGTATGAACTTCACGAGCCTCAGCTCGTAATTTCTTATTTTCTTAAAATATTTTAATAAAATATTCTGAAATATGGCACGCATGTATTAAATATCCAATCATTCCACACTTATGGCAAGAACACATCTCTCATTTTTTTTTTCTACTATAATTAATAGTAGAAGATTTATTCTTTCCATATGGGTAGAAATAGTCTTGACTATGACTACCTTGATACTTATGAGCACGTTTCCCATATTTATATAATTTCTTCTCAGACTTTGAAATATTAAGTGCATGAAATTTTGGAACTGTAGTTCTAATAGGACGAGCTTCCACATTACGCAAGAGTAGCTCATTTTGCTTCTCCACAAGAAGTAGATAGGACATGAGATCAGAATGACTCTGAAATTTGATGTTCTTGTATTGTTGTGCAAGCTCAATAGATGCAGGAGAAAATGTAGAGAGAGTTTTTTTAATCATTTCTTCTTCAGAAATGCTTTGTCCACATAATCATAATTGTGAGACAATACTATACATTTCACTATTGAAAGCATTTAAGTTTAGAAAATCCAAGACACATAAATGTGTCCAATCATGACGTGCACGTGGAAGAAAAATGGTCTTTTGATGATCAAACCTAGATTTAAGATTCTTCCAAAGTTTTGCAGGGTCTTCCATTTCTAA